TCTTAGTGATAGGATTTACACAACAGCAACCCCTCAGTTACAACAGTGAGACTTTATTTTTGTTTATTTCCAACCTATATTTTTATGAAATATTACACATGAGGAAAAGCACATAAAACAAATGTGCAGTACAACGAATGATTATAAAGCAGACATTCATGTCACCATCACCGAGGTCAGGAAATAGACCACTGCCAGCACAGCTCCCCCCCAATCTCTTCCAGATTACAAACTCCTTTAGAGGCTGCCAGCAGCCAGATTTTTATAATAATCACTTCCTTGCTTTTCTTTATAGTTTTATCACCTATGAATCACATGGAAAGTCTTAAATTGGGATTTTCTCATGTAAATCCTAAAACTGAAGACCACAAGGGAGAGCCTCTTTCATGTGGATTCCCAGGCCCTGGGGAGATGGTGGTGGATTTGCGTTCTTCGGCCTTTGGCAAAGAATGCTGTTTTGAGGCTTCTCTCCCTCATTATGTTTAAGGCACCTGAAGAGCAGTGTGAGGGGAGCAAAAAATGCACCCCAAGCTGAGCCCGTCCCTGGGAACTTACTGTAGGGTAGAGAAAGCATGGATAAACATGACAGAACAGGGGCAAGCTCCTAAAGGTACCCTCAGGTGAATGCTATGGGAGTTTCGAAGAAGCAGAGATCACTTTAGCAGCCAGAAGAGGAACAGGCTTTGTGGGAAAAGTGGCAGTATTCTCATTCATGCATTATTTATCAAACATTTTGGAGGGCTGGCAGTTTGCCAGGAAATTAGATAAAAGGATACAAAAATGAATACAGTAAGATCCCTGCCTGCTCATGGCTTAATGGTTTAGTTAGCCCAGACACAAATGATTTTAATACAGTATGCTTTAAATACACAGTGTAATAGGAATGATGGGTTGCTTGGGGGTATCAGTCAAGGCTTAGGAGCTGAGATCCACACTAATCCTTGAAGGAGAGAAGAATAGGAGTTTGGCAGACAGGGAAGGGAACTGCTGGAGCTGCAGAAGCACAGAGGTGGGAAAGAACACAAGGTCAGTGTTGGTAAAAGCTACAGTTTATGGTGAGAAGGAGAGTGGGACTTCATAGGTAGCATGGGTGAGCGGGAAAGGTGTCCTAGGCAAGGGGAACAGCATGAGCAGGAGCATGGAGCCAAGAAATCATGGTACCTACATGCACGATACTAGGTAATTCAGTCTTGCTGCCGTGTACACACATAAGGTGTATGATGGAAGGTGGGATAATTAATTTTAAATGTCAGCTTGACTGGGCAATGGGGGCTCAGATACTTGGTTGAACATTATTCTGGGTGTACTGGTCTGTGAGGGTGTTCTGGGTTAAGATTAACATTTGAATTGGTAGACCACGTAAAGTAGATTGCATGCCCTAAATGTGGTGGGCCTCATCCAAGCAATTGAAGGCCTGACTGGAACAAAAAAGGCTGACTCTCCCATGCGTAACAGAGATTTTTCCTGGCTTGGGACTCAAACACGGACTCTTCCTGGGTTTTGAGCCTGCTGACTGTTGGATTGTGACTGAAATATCGGTTCTTGTTCTCAAGCTTGAGGACTTGGACTAGACCCATACCATCAGTTCTCTTAAGTTTCAACTTGTCAACTCACCATACAGCTCTTGGAACCTATCAACATCTATAATTGTGAGAATGAATGCCTTTGAATACACCTTTTCAGATTAAAAAAATTATTTATTTGTCAGAGAGAGAAAGAGAGCAGGCAGAGGGAGAAGTAGGTTCCCCGCTGAGCAAGGAGCCCGATGTAGGACTCGATCCCAGGACCTTGGGATCATGACCCAAGCCAATGGCAAATGCTTAACTGACTGAGCCAGCTAGGCATCCCAGAATAAATCTTTTTAGATAGATAGATGCAAAGCAATACAAATCAGTCTCTCTCTTTCATTCCTTCTCTTCCTCCCCCTGTTCCTCCTGTTGCTTCTGTTCTTCTGGACAACCCTGACTAACACAGAAGGGAAAGGGAAATAACTTTGGAAAGGCAAGTTGGTGCCAGGGCACAGAGGACACAGAATGCCTGGCTAAAGGACTTTGGATTTTATTTTGAAGGCAAAGGGAAAAACACCGAGGTTCCTGAGCCAGAAAGTGACTTAATAGGAGCTGAGATCTAGGTAGGCAAAGGTTGTGGTGTATAAAATGAATTGAAACAGAGATAGTCAGAAGAAGCCTCTAGAGATGGGATATTGACTTTGTTTGCGTGGGACCTCTGATGCAGAGAGTTTGGGAGCCCCTGGATGTAGTACAAGGGTGCAGGGGCCAGAAGCAGATAGAGGCACAACAGAACCCGAAGCAGGTGGGAACTGGAGATGTCGTCAGTGGCGCTGATGGGACTTGTGAGTAACTGGGAATTTGGAAATGGTGTGGGAATAGGGGCTGGAGGAGGTAGAGATTTGGGAATCATCTAGAAGGTGGTGTCAAGTGCTACACCAGGCGGCCACAGAAGGGCGGGGTGGCAGAATCTTGCAATTGTGACAGGAACCGACTCAACGTCGCTCAGCTAGTGTGACTGAAAATTTAAGTAAGACTAGATCCAAGGGCTCAAACAATGCCAGTGGGACTTGGTTTGACGGTCTCTTTCTCTCTGCTCTCTTTTTGCCCTCTGTTGCGGTCCCCTTCCCAGGCAGTTTCTCTCCTTGCAGTGGGAAGATGGCTGCCACCAAGGCCAAGGTGACATCCTGCCCTCAGCAGAGAGATTCATCAACTGGACAGTTCTGACCAAAGTTCCAGAATTGAGTCTCACTGATTCTCTTTGGGTCATATGCTCATCACAGAACTGCTGCTAAAATTCTCTGATTGGCTAAGCCTGGGTCACGTGTCCACCGGGCACCTAGCAGTGGAGACATCTCCTCTAGAGCCATGGGGATTGAGAATTGGGGGGAGGGGCTGCTGCAGAAATGGAAGTGCCTTCATCAGCAGGAGGATTGGATTCCAGGCTGGTAACCATGGGGGAAGGGGCGCTGGAGACCCATGGGGTGCTCCTCCCATTGGTATGAGGTAGCTGCAGCCAGAGGGGTAGTGGGGAGGAGGCCCTAGGAGTCTGGGGTCTAGGCTGGCAGCAAGGGAAGGGGTAGACTGGGGTCTAGTAGTAACGCTGCTGCCTCTTGGGGCCGTGAAAAGATTGGGGAGGGCCATTTTGACAAAGACCTGACAAGAGAGAAGACAAAGTACTAAGTGAGCCCTTGTTCTGGGTTCTGTTGGGTGACACCCCATCAAGATATTGCTGCTCATGGAAAGGGCAGACATTGTCTGGGGACATTCATGGGATTGTGAGAGGGGATGAAGGAAAGGTCACTGCCAATTGGCTTGCAGAAGGAGAAAACACAACCAGATTTCCTCAAGTTAAAAAAAACTAAGCTTATGTATTTTACAGTAGTCAAAAAGTTACAATAGCCGAAAACAACCTAAATTCCAATAGTAGGTTGATTAGATAGATTGTAATGTCCACACAGTAGAATATGACCTTTAAAAACAATGTTTCATTTGAGATGGAAAGATATTCATAGTGTAGTTTTGAAAGACAAAAACAAGAGTACAATCAGTTTTTGTGCAATAAATGTATATACACCTCTCTCCATCTCTATATATCTGGGAAGATGTACACCACAGTGTTACTATTTTGTGTCAGTAGGGGTAGAACCACAGCTGAAGCTTATCTTTTGATTTCTCTGTAATCACCTTCTGGGTAGTTGATCAATTAGAGCCAGCCCCTTGGGTCCAAGTTCCAAATGTGCCACTGCCTGGCTTGGCAACCTTCGGCAACTTCCTTTTTTTTTTTTTTTT